TGTGCTGAACATCTTTTTCTGTATCACTTTAAAACTATGGTTGCATTTATCATGGCTATTTAGACATGAAATGGTTGAACGGGAGGGTTCTGTCATCTCACAAGGACTAGATGATGCCAATGGCTTCGGAAGTCCTGACACCGATTCACCTAAAGTAGTAAACATTTCACTTTCCTGGATTTTCATTGGTGTTGGGTATTATCATCTATCTTTGCATTTTAATATTTATTTTACATTCTTCAATCATTTTTTTAGGACAGCATTTTAAAAACATTTATTTCTAGTTTTCATAAAGCGTGTACTGCTGTCGAAATATTCTTGTTACGTTTCCTGTTTGGTTGTCCCTGATGCATAGACATATTACTGTTTTCATAGATTGATTTTTGTTTCCTGTCTTCTAATGAAACTTCCTTCTGGATTCAATATTGTTCCTAAAATAAATTGGTAAATCCTGCCAAACTCATGTGGAATCTAATTATTTTTGTGAGGCACTTAAGATCTTCTTTTTACTTCTTTAATCACTTCTTAGCCTTTTGGCTAAGATCAAGTGCAGTATCTGTTCTAATCAGTTTAATATTTTTACTTCTTTATCTTCTTATGCTATATAATAAGCAAGTTCCTTAAGATCATACTTTTAATTATCCATACAGCAGTGTCTAATCTATTGTTCAACTAATATATTGACTATATATGTATACATTACATTTTTTTTTACTAAACCAGTTTATTCTTTTATTTTAATATGTCACCCTGTTTTGTAGTATTTTTCTTATTCCTCACCTGCTTAAACTTGTATCATGTTTTCATGATGGTATATTTGACATATTTCTATTTTTTAGAACTTATATGACAAAATAGCATGACATTTTCAGATTATATGACTTTTTTTACAGACTATTCTTTAGTTCTTAGGATACAAATATTCTGATATTTGTGGCTATCAATTTCCTTTTGTAGTTATTTTCTTTTTATTCACTGTACTGCTTTACTATGAGCCCATTTTCAGTTAAAGCTGTGTTCCCTCCAATATAGCTTTTCCTTGAGCAAACTATTTGCTTGATTTATCACAGAACTCAAGCAAATAAAGAGAGAATAAGAGAGACCCCCATTCCCACGTGGCACTCCCATTTGGGAACTGGATTCCTCACAAGGCACTAAGTTTTACTGACCCAGATACCTAAAGAAAAAAGAGTTTCCCATCTGCCTCTCCAAATTGGCAGGAAGAATTTTCTAGTTCCCCTTTTACTGTCAGAAAGGATTTCCAAAGGCCCTGCTGAAAGTCAGTCAGTTGTCAGTTCTCTCCATCAAGTCCTAGGGAAAGCTTTAACCCCCAGTCTCTAGCCTCCATCCTAAAACTAAGCCTAGTCTGACATGCACGACTCCGTGGCCCTCACTGCTCAGTGTGGCTGGAGCTTGTGCTTTACTTCAATTCCTTTCCTGGAGTGGACACCTTGAAATGTTCCTTTTTTCCCAGAATCTAAATGTTTTTCAATTTTTCTGTTTATCCAGCATAACTGTGTGTTTGAAATAGCAGAAACAAAACAAGAAGTGTCTCCAGCCACTCAGCATGGCATTTAGAGTATTGGTCATTTAAGACTCACAGTAGAAAACATTGAATAATAAAGCACTTCGATAAGTGAGATATTTCTTTTCTATGAACCCTGAAATACTCTAATTGTGTTGGGTTAATGGAGTAAAAGTTCAAGTGTGTATTGTTAATGCAGTCATTGGAAATGAATATTCATAGACATTATTTTACATGTAATTCATATATTTATAAATACTTATTCTATATTACTAATCTCCATATCATTACTGTATGTACGTGAGTAGATATTCCTAATCAACCAAAATGCTACAATTTCTTTGAATTTCAGTTGCCAATAAAATTTTGCATAAGTAGCATTTTAATTCATGTTTTTTTTGTTTTTTTTTTTGGGGGTATCAGGGATTGAACTCGGGTCCTGTGTGCTTGCAAGGTAGGCCACCGAACCACTGAGCTAAATCCCCAGCCCTAATTCATGTTGTTTTTAATGATAAGTCAATGCACTTGTGCCAAATCGTGCTGTCATGAAATAGAGGGAAATGCTGCTTTCTTCTCTACTTTGGTAAGTGTTTCTTAGTATGTTGAAATATTCAGATATTGATTTTTCTTGTAAACAAGAAGTGTCAGGCACTTAATTATAGATTGCATGCACATTGTGATAAAATTCATTATATATTGTCATATAATTGTGCTAATTCATTTGTTATATGTGTATAATTTATAATTTGTACAATCATAGAGATCTTTTTAAACAGTTGCTTTCTACAAGTTTTATCCCAGAAAAAAAAAATTTTAAGAGCTGATACTTTTCTACTTAAAAAGTTAGAGTTGAAAGACATTTCTCTTAATGATGCTATTCACTTAATTTTTCAATCTGTTTTATGATTTCTTAATTGCTGTTTATGTTACTGTTTTAATTGCCTTTGCAGAGCTTCAAGTGTCTTTGTGGGAGGCATTTTTCTTATTAGGATTATAATCACTCTCTGTACAACACGGAGTCAGGCAGAGAGCTGGTATTAGCAGCTCAGGAGTTTTCCCTCTACGTCTGCTAATCACGACAGCTCTCTCACGCTAGCCTTTCTGGCTGCATTTCCTAAAGGCAATGAACAAAATGAGGCTGCCTCTTTGGTTATTACTTTTATTCAGCCTACCAGGCATCACTTTTCTCTGCATGGTAGATATACAAAAATGCTTCTTTTTTCCCCCTTTCCGTCTGATTTCCTATATTCTATAGACTCAGGTAGCTTCCTTTCTATGGTAAGCCTAGGTTACCCTGTCCTTTACTTGAGCAAGTGCGGGTTAGAAACGGCTGCAGAATTGTGGGAATGGAATAAAAGTATGCACTAGGTGTTTGGGTACATATTAGAGAAGAGATTGGAAGGTCTGTAGAATTACCCAGAAAACATTTAGGATAGAGAGGGAAAGGGCCCTTAAGGAAGCAATCACTCACAATCAGTGTCTGGTCTTGTTCTGCAATAGCAATTTTTCATTTCAGATAATATTGAAATGCTAAATACCAAACCTAGAAAATTTGCTTTCTTCCAGTACACGGCAGACCTTCTCCATGGGCTCCTGGGTTTCCTGATCACCAGTGTGGCCAGTAAGTATCCAGGTTCCCAGTCTCAGTAAATCAACACAGGTACATAATTTGCTCCTCATACAGTACATGTCTGCTTTTTTTAATTTATTTTTTTCAGCTTTAATTGAGTTTATTGGTACATTTTAGGGATACAGTACAGTTGCATTCATTGTTGGGATCTTGTACCTCTACATGACAGGTCTTGATTCTCATTTTTCCCCTTACCCCTGCCCTCCCTTCACCCCCTCCTCCCCTCCCCATCTACAAGCACTTTATTTCCATCTTTTCTTTATCTCACATTTTTTTCTTTTCCCTTATTACCCTTCCCCTACTCATCCTACCTTCCCTACACCTTTAGCTCCTTTCTTCCCATTTCTAAGTGTCAGTAATCTTATTAGGATCTTCTGTATTATTGCAGATTATTCACACCAGAGAAACTATTCGGTATTTACACATGTGTGCCTTATTTATTTCACTTAGGAGTATATCTTCAATATGTATCCATTTTCCTATGAATGAATCTATTTTCTCGTTCTTTATGGCTGAGTAATATTCCATTTTATAGAAAAAGCACATCTTCTTTATCCAGTTTCCAAGGGATGGGCAAATGGGCTGTTTCTAAGTTTTAGCTATTACAAACTGTGCCGCTATAAACATGGGTGTGCATATATCACTGTGATATGATTCTTTTAGTTCTTTTGGAAATTTACCCAGCAGAGGAATGGCTGGGTCAAATGGAACCTGAGTAATATTCCATTTTATAAAAAAAACACATCTTCTTTATCCAGTTTCCAACAGATGGGCAAATGGGCTGTTTCCAACATGTCTGCTTTTTAACTGTTATAGTGTTTAGCTCGATAATTCAGACATCCTTTTCTCAATGCATATGCACTTTAACTGAAATAACTTCATGTTAGAATGCCCATGAATGCATATAGATGTATCTGCCATCCAATATTTACAGCTGTCTACATAAGCCTCATAAATTAATAACAGTAGCATTTCTTTTAGTAAAGCCCACCTATGTTTGTAAACAGAGGAAATAAAGTTCTTTTCATTGGTATCTCATTACAGCACGCTCACTTTTTCAAAGAACTGCTCACTCTCTAGGTAATGTAGCTATGTACAAAACCATATTATGGAACCAATCATTATAAACTTAGTCAAGGTTATCATTTTACACTTGTTCGTGTCTCTGTGTTTCCTGTGAGTGCACACGCGGCAGGTGTAATGCCTCCCTTGGTGTTACCATGATGAGCTATTAGCCAAGCATGTGCAACAAATAAAGTCACAATTCTAAAAGTACTCTTGAGAGGAAATATTGAGCCTTTAATCAATTCCATGAGGCCTTCTTAGACTTTGGATATTAAGCAGAAGAGTTGAAAATGGTGAGAATTGTAACACCTATCTGAATTCAAATTTTAGGGGATTATTTAAAAATCAAGAAGGAAGCCCTTGACAAAATTATCTTAAGAATTAATTGCAAAGAAGTAGTAGATCTGAATGTAATGTTAAAGGGTTGCTATTTCTAGTGATATATATGTGTCTAGTATATATATTATATATGCATATATAAAAATTTTAATATAACAATAGATTGGCAATGGGGAGAAAAGTCCTTTTGTTATAAAATGATACAGTCTCTCAAGATGATTTATCTTCTAGATAGCTGTAGTTTTTAGATAAATGGTCGGTGACTTACTAAAGTGATCTGGTAAGCATATAAGGACACTTGTAGGAGTACCACCTGCAGAGTAGACCGGAGGCATTTACAGGAGATGTCGCAATTGCCTAATCCCAGCCAGCGTAACCTAGAAGCCGAGGGAAGTGACTTTCTGTCTTGGCAGTGGGACACTACTGGAAAAAATAACGTACCTTGCAGTTACACGGCCCAAGACAAGGGTCCTCGTCTGTGCTCCCTGAGCCGCTGCAGTTACAGGGCTGGCAGTTGGGGTAGCCAGCGTAACCCCTGGCACAGCGATCGCAGCTCACCCCTCCAAAGCCCGCTTTGCAATGACAGGATCCAGGGGCCGAACCTACAGGAAGAGGCATCACATATCCACATTTAAAAAATGAACACAAAGTTTTACCTCTTAAGGTTGTAATATCTTTAAAAAACATATTTTACCCCCAAATCAGATTCTTGATATACATCGGTAAATTTCAAACCAAAGACCCTGGAGTTTAAATAGAAGTTTACTAAAGAAATTATGCTGATGTAGAATCTGACAGGGACCCTCAGAATATTAAGAATAAAGAGAAAGGTGAAATCTCAAATCATCTACAAAACTACAGCCACCATATACCACAGCTACAGAAAGGCTGAACAATAATGAAAGAACAATTTCCTTAAACCCTACACTGAGGAGAAAAAACAGGAACTATGCATACCAGAGGGGTCATAAAATAAATCTCTCCAACACAGTATCACAAGATACTGTGGGGAAGAGGCTTTGGGATACAGAGATAGTACTTAACCAACAATTTAGCAATGATAATCCAAGGGTAACGTCGCTTTAGTATTACTAGACAAAAGAATAAATGTGTTCCTGGGGATGGATATATTGCATATGAGAAGTACAAGAGGGATATAAAAGCAGTTTAAATTTCCCTCGTTAAACAGTTATACAAAGAGAATGTAAGAGAATTATTATCCCCAAAACATCTTTGGTCTCTTCATTAATAATATTGTCAAGGATGTTGCTTGTTGTTAATGTCTCTTATTAAAAAAAAAAATAGAATGAATGAATACAAGTAATAGACTTCCAATAATTGGAAAAGAATAAGAGAAAAATCAATAAATATAGTCCATCAGCAAAAAGGAAGGGGGAATAAAAGGAAGGATATATGATTGTGGAAAGCATTAAACTGAACACTAGGAGTCATGTCAAAGATGCAGCATATCATGAACAATGATTCTATTCCTTTTAAAAATGTGCACTGTAATGTGTAATAGAGACATATAAAATGACCGGAAACAAAAACACAAGGACATAAATATATGTTAAGAAAGTATACAGAATAGAAAGAGACAGTTATAGTGACTTTAATTAGGGCCCTGTGTATATTGTATGTGATGCACTCTCATTTTGCATTAATAAAGATGCATTGAATGATTTATATTATTATATTTTTGTTCCAAATAAGCAGTAATTATGAATTCAAGTATACATAACAAAACATGCTGGAAATATTAAAAATTGTTAAAAAACCTATGGCTAACAATGGCGTTAAGCTATTTAAATATATACACAAAATAAAGCCAAACAAAAAATTTATATACAAAAAATTAGGAAAACAGAAAAATTCAATCGAACAATGTTCAGTTATATATGGCATCATATATATTTAACATAGCTTATTATTTACTAATCTACAAATTGTGTTTGTCAAGGTAGAACATATATAACATTTTAACATAAATTACTATAATTCGAGACATATCAAATGGTACAATAAGTTAAGATCAATTATGAATTTCAAGTCTGATTACATTTTATAAAAATGCCAATCACTATAAAATTAATAAATATCTCTAAAAGTCTTCATTTGCAAATTAAATGCAATGAAAATAGTTTTCCAGGTAGATTATACTAATAATGAGAAAGAAATTTAGCAATGTTTATTGGATATGAATAAAACAGATCAAAAGTCAACTTAAAGACTTAGGTCATTCCAATATTTTAAAAAATGATTAAGTACTATTTGAATCATGTAATTATAAAAAGAAAGGAAACAAGATGAGCCCAAGGCAGAAGGGAGGATTGAAAATTAAAAAAAACTAAAAGGAAATCTTGAAGCTAATTAGGATGTGAGAACAGGGAAAATCATTAAAGAATTAGTGGAAAAATTTTAATATCAAGTGATATTTACAAATTGTTTTCAAAGTTTCAAACTCTTACAGACCTGAAAATGGAGAGGTAGCCACCTGACTTTGTGGAGCTAGTTTATGAAGCTAGTATCTTGTATCAAAATAGAGCAAAGCTAAGCCAGAATAAAGATAATAATTGCTAACACATGGACACTTTTGTTATTTGGGCATTTTATTTAGCATTAGTCACAGGACATGGGTTAATTAAATCAGTAAGCAATACATCGAAGTGAGGTAAACATTATTGATTCTCTCATTTTACAAACTAAGGCACAGACAAATTGACACGCCCAGATAGCATGGCTGGCAGGTCTCAGATCCACACCAACTGAATTTAGGAGTCCTGATGAGAAAATGGCTAAGTAAAATAATCACCAGTCTGAATCTGAAAGTACACCCAAATGTCCTTTCATGGTGGTCAAGTAAAAATTTCTTCTGGAAATATAAATATTGGTTGTTTTTTTTTTTTTTTTTTTTTTTTTTTTTGGTTTTTTGAGACAAGGTCTCACTATGTAGTCCAGGCTGGTCTCGAACTCACAGCAGTCCTCCTGCCTCAGCCTCCCGAATGCTGGGATTACAGGCATATGCCACCGCACCTGGCTAAATACTGTTTAATGTTAACACATTCTTTTTGTTTTTCTTCAGTTCTGGGCATTGAATCCAGGATCTTCCTACTGAGATACATCCCTGACCCTTTTATATATTTTTATTTTGCAACAGGGTTTTATGATCTTGCTAAGTTGCCCAGACTGGACACTACCTGCAGCTGTCCTGCCTCACTCTCCCAGAATGCTGAGATGTGATCCACCATGGTGGCCAATAAAGTTCATTTTTTATGCATCACATTCACAAAGCACGTGGAAAATAAATCTGCCACTGTAATATAGTGCAATAGAGATTTTCAAATCAGTAAAAATTAATAATCTGATGTTACAATTTTTAGGTTATAGCTCTAGAGGAGTAAGAAGTTCCGATATGCTATTATTGCACGGTAAAGTTACTGCAGATAACAATGTGCTACATATTCAAAAAAGCCTGAAGAAATGAGTCGCAATGTTTTTACCATAAAGGATGTTGGAGGAGACAGATATGTGAACTTTAAACATGACATAATGTATACATGTATGGAATTATTGCATGGTTTCCCATATGTCCAAACTTTAAGTTTTTATGTATTTTAAGATTTTTCTGTTTTCAATTTAAAAATTGAAAATTTACCAGAAATCAGGTCACCAAGAACTGCAGAATGCTCATCCAACTTGTGTCTGGAAACTTTACAGACTAAAAGCCCACTCCTGTTCATCGTGAAACCAAAAATTGGTAGATACACTGATGGATGAAAGAGCGACTTTGCAGTAGTGAAATACAGAAAAATACCTTCGGAGGTGACAAAGTACAAAGCTGACCTCTAGCCGGTCACTTGGTTTATAAGCCGGTGTCCTTCCTGGAGCGGACTGGAAAATTGTAGATTGCAGGGGGCATGGTTTACGAAACAGTAATAAAAATCATAGGTCCTATAAAAGTTAAATGAGTCCTATCAGGTAATCTCATGGAAACGCAAGGCCCTCGAGAAGATGAACTAGAAGTACTCACACGTAACACAAAATACACACATACTAATGAGACCCGTAAGAAAATGGGAATCCAGCAACAGTCCGTAGAAAAATCAAACTACAGAATGAGGCTCAGACAGATAGCGCAGTGCTGCTAACAGATGCGGAACATAAAGTAAATATGAATTATAGGAAACAAGGAGGCAGATCTTCCGCAAGAGGAAAGGAGGCCAAGAGATTCAAGGAAAGAGGCAGGAGGGGAAGGGGAGCAGTCATGGAAAGGATTAAGATACGTTATGGACATGTGCCAGCTCCCCACAATGAAAGCAGGGTGATCGTTATATACTGCAAACATTTACTCAGAAAAAAAAACTACAAAAATTATTTTTTGGTTATAGAAATTGTACTACAACAAACATATATAGTGAAAAAACTATGTCTGTAGACATATTAAGTCAGTGAATAAAAACATATTTGAAAATAAAATGTAGATAGAAATTCTCCTTATAAACATGTCAAAATAAATTCCAGATGCATGCATAAATTGTTATTAAGTGAAATCATGCAAATGAACCAAAAATACATTAGTCTAGTCTTTGGATAGATAAGAATTTTGGGACTTTAAAAGCATGTAAGAAATCCAATAGAGGAATGTTAAAGTACATAATGATCATACTTAGTGCCATTATAATAACTAAAGAAGATTATCTGAATTTTAAGGGCTGATTATATAAAAACATTTCAATTCTGTAGGTTAGAAATCCTTTCCACAATAGTGAGAGACAAAGCAAATCCAGAAATTGTTTAACAAGTATGTTATAACATGTGGGTTTATAACAAGTGTGTTGGGTGTTTTTTGTTTTGTTGCATTTTGTACTTCTGAGGATAGAACCCAGGGCTTTGCACCTACTCGGTAAGCACTCTACTACTAAGCTGTGTCCCTAGCCCCTCATTATTTTTAATCTTTAGAGAGCTCCTACCTGAGGAGGAAAAGAATCTACCTCACACTGAAAGAAAACAAAGGAAACAAAATTCACAAAAGAAATATATGTATATTTCCTCAACTCAGGGCCAATAAGACCCTGGGATATGTGTGATTTCTACTGTTTAGGCAATTTGATTAAGTAGTTCAGACCATTAAACCACATTCGTATTTTTCTAAATCAACAGCTCAGACTAAGCACGAAGGCGAAGTTTATTACAAGTGTGTGTTCAGTTTCACAACTCAGGTCTCTAATGTATAATATGAATGAAATTACACTACAGTGTTGATTGGATTTCAATTTTAAAATGGAAAGAATTTATTTTTAATCTAAGCATTGCTGTTTATATCTTTGAAAAGATAAACGTGAGTGACAACTGCAGAAGTCTGGGAAAGGTCAAGATGGTGTCCTTGTCATCTTTATATATCAGGTCTCAAGAGGCAAGACCTGCATTCAATAGATCGTGAGATGGGAATTAAGCTTTCTTTCTAACATGATGAAAGTATCACAGAAGAGATCTAACATAATATTGGGATGGTGGAAAGAAGGAAGGGAATATGAATGAAACATTTTTCTTTCTTTCAAGATGGAATCAATATGAAAACATTTTGATGACACAAAACTGATAAGAATAACATCATTTAGAGTTTGGAGGTAATGCTCAGGAACCGAATAAGAAAAATGGTTCACTGCAGTTAAATTGGAAAGACGATGGGAGGAAAAAAAAATTGAGAATGTCGCCATTGCTGAATATTTTACCCCATTCCTTAAACATTTATTTTACTATGTATTTTTTCTGGCAATAAAAATACTTGTATACAAAGGTCTTAATTAAAGCACTGGTTAAATAAACAAATATTAGAAAGAATTTAATGTTTAGCATAAAGTTGAATTGGTAGATAGGTACAAACATACTCTGATGTATTATTTAGGTGCTGGAATCAGATTTCAGGGAAGATTTTTAAAAGACTGGAAGAAAACAGCATGCAAAGTAAAATGGAGCAATACCAAAAATTCTCTATGCAATATGACAAATATATTAAAAAATGTTAAAACTAGTATATCTGCTACATTGCCACTGAATTAGATATTCAGTTTTTATGTTTCTATTTTTATAGCTTTGTAATGATATACTTATTTTAAAAGAGGACATTAACGTAACTGAAGTACACCTGAAATTATCCCTGTGACTTAGTAATTACCAAAAACAAGAGGGGGCCTAAAACGACAAATGATGCAGTAGTAGTTATAGTTTAGATGGAGAAGGTCCCCCCAAAGCCTTACGTACTTCACGGTGGGGGCTTGTGGAAGGTGACAGGAGTTTTGGGGCCCTAGAGCTGACTGGGTTTTGGGAGACGGGGTCTGGCAGGAAGAGGTCATGCAGCTGGATGTGGCCTAGAAGGGTGCCCCCCTCCTCCCTGTCTAGTCCCTTCTCCCTCTGCCTCCCGGCTGCCATAACATGAGCAGCTTTCCCTCCGCCATGCCCTCCTGCTGTGCTGTCCTGCCTGGGAGCCAACAGAGCATGGATCAAAATGCCAGCCAAAATAGACTTCTTCTCCTTTAATTTGGAATGTAAGATATTGTGTCCCATTGACAAGAAAGTGACTAAGACAGCAATTCATTGTTTGTATATTAAAACACATCAGATTTTAATCTTTCAAGAATTAAGGTTACATATTATGCTTAAATTGGTAATCCTATAGTTTCATAAAGAAAGCAGGCAGGCTAAACTAGATTCCAAAGGAGAAAGTTGTAGGGGGAAAGACTATATTGTAGTCATGATTTATTTTAGTCTTTCCAAAGAAGACAAGAATTCACTCTGTGAGACATAAAGAAACAGTTCCACACACATGTTATGAATTTCCTATTTGAACTTAGAGTAACTGCTTTAGAATTGGCTCCCAAACATTTTATAGCAAGGGATTACACTGGCATTGGATTCCTTGATGTTTGGAGATCATCATGAATTCCATTACACAAAGTACTCAGCTTAAATTAATGTCAACCTCCTTCACCTCTTTAACTCGTGACTGTTATATGTCTTATCCCTTAGGCACACTTCTGGCTCTCTAATTTATTGCTTACGTCTCCAGATATGATCTGTATTCGCCTCCCATCAGAACACCCACCCTTCAATGAATGCTGCCACTTTACCCTAGAACTCACAGAAGCTACAAAACAAGAAATGAGATAAAAAGCTTGTACACCTACAGATGTGTGATTCCCACCCCACCCTTGCAGGCAGATACATACAGTCATGTATAACATCATGTTGGTTTCCTCAGTGACAGACATCCTGTATGACAATGGTCTTAGAAGACTGAAGCGCCCAATGAAGTTTTACTTTATGTGCATTATGACATTCAAACAACAACAAAATCAGCTAACGACACATTCTCCAGAACTTATTCCTACCATTAAGTGACAAGACTGTGTACACACACACACAGACGTACATACACAAATCATCAGACTTCTTCTTGCTTTTTAAAGCATGCTAATTAACATAACATTAATTATTAAGAGAATAAAAACCTGCTTCCTGGAGTGCACACTGCTATGAAGACAGACTTAAGAAGGCTTTCTATGTGCATGCACCATATTGGCTTTTAAGGTCCTGCCCTGGAGCCCTAGACCGTCCTCACCTAGGCGAGCGGATCTCTCATCCTTGACACAGATTTCACTTAGGGAACCGGCTGCATCACAGTGACAAGGCTGGCATGGTCTCGGATAATTTGGTGATACCTAACAGAAATATTAAAAAGCTTTCAGTCAAATGTGATAAAAACAGCAATATTTTTCAATTCAGTAAACCTGAAGGTTAAATTAGTTTTATAGTATATAAAATAATTTGAGAAAATCATAAAATGTGACGTTTACTACATGTTTAGAATTTCTAAAATCCAACTTTTTCAACATATACATAAAGAGGATGGCACAATAAACTTTTAGTATATGCTATAGATTCAACAGCTATCAAGATTTTGCCACGTGAGCTTCATCTTTCTTGCCTTTGCTGCATTTTTTAGAAGAAATTGACAATAAAAAGCTTTTAAATGCTACAAATTTGAGGATGCATCCATCTTGTTTCACCAGAGTATTGTTATCATAACAAGGAAAAATGATAATATTTTTTGGCTAGTCTAACTATATTCCATAAAATGTCTTCTGGGTTTTTTGCTTTTTACTACACCACAGTTTAAAATCAGCAATTTAAACTTTCTGCCCAATCTATTTTTAAGAAATTCTTTCACATTGATCATGATATGATTATTTAAATAGAAATTTATGTTTGGTGTACTATAATACTATTAAATATATAAATTAAAAACTTGGTTTTCTAAGAGGCTGTATAACTAGAGAGGAAACAATGAAAACTGTGCAATTTGGGAAACATGAGCTCATTTCCCAGTGTGGCCACTTAACAACTCGGTGACACTGTACAATTTATTTACTTCCTTATGATATGAGGATAATAAAAACAAATACAAAAATGTTCTGTAAATTAATTAAAAGGAATGACACATACAGCATCTCATTAGACTCCTGGCATATAATAAATACATAACTAGTAGCTTTTACTGCTTTATTTTAATTAAACAAACTTAAACTATGCTCATATGTGCATATATGTGTTTTCCAGATGGAATAAGAAAAGAACCAAAATAAATTAATTGTCCAGGAAATACTGAGATGGTACTGCATATAGTGTCCACACCTATGTACCTCTGTACATATATCCATACATATACGTACACACATAAATAACGTAAGTTCATTTACAAGTGGAAATTTGTTAGCTGGTACAACTGAAGGCATTAAAATTAGAGTTATTTACATATCTGCCTGGATGTGGATCAGATAAGTTCATAGAGCAGTTTCAAAATCATCATTTGTTCAAACACATTCATTTCTCCCATTACGAAGTAAGGATTATGCACAGCACAGATTGGAGACCTGGTTGCTGCCTTAAATTTATAGGATTAAGATTTGAAAGACAGTGACTAAAGAGAATATGAAATAGACACACCATCACAGCCTTATGGGACAAAAAATACAACAACACAAGGAAATCAAGCAGGGCTTTTGAGAAAAATTAACATTCTACGAAAGCTTCAAATATGAGTATCAATTTGAGAATAGAATTTGAGAAGAAAGGCTTTGTACTCAGAGAAAACACCAGGACATTAAAAAAAAAAAACAAAACTGGCACAATACAAAAATGTCGCTTTGGATAAAAATCTGACTTTTAGAAATATGAATTATGATCTCAATGATGAGCTTCAGTAAGAAAAGGCACTCTACCCACTATCATATCTGTAGCCATTGGAAAAATCTGCTTGAATTAGACAGCTCATCAAGAAAGCTAGTCTATGAGATTCTACAAATATCTCTACACTCATTTTTAATCTTATCAAAGTAATTCAGGTTATAAGTCAATCCTCTAAGTAAACACTGTATGATATTTCCATATATATTTCATATGTAAAATGTATGCATGTATCAAATTTATATATTCATTACATAAATGTAAAATCAATTTTTGAAACAATAATTTTAAGACCATCTATGACATAAGTTATGTGCCAATACAAAAAACTGCCTTTTCATAGCTTTATTGACTTCATCCCGAATAGTAAGAGACTACAATACTTGCATATAAAAAATTTAATTTAGCAAGAGTATTTTACAAGTATCAAAACACCAAAATCTCATGCTGATGCACTTAATTACTACTCTTGTCATAAAAACTTGATCAAGCTTCCAGGTCTGATTTAATATTTTATCTTGTATGAGAATAATACATCATCAGATTACAATGATAAATTGCAAATCTTGGACAAACCATAAAAATTAAATTATTTGAAGGCCTGTGTGAATAATTAAAAGCAGGCAGAAACTAGAAGAATGTGACGTTTGAAAGTAAAAAAAAAAAAACACAGAAAAATATCTATCCCAAGAGAGGGCCAAGACCAAATTCTTCCTAAATGCACCTGTCAAACACTTAACAATCCATTGTTGGATAGATGCACACCCAGACACCAAGGAACCCAGGGGAAAAAGCTGAACAAGATGAGCAAAATTTTCAGATGCTTCTCACCATAGAATAAACAGAAATTGGAGTTTAAAATCAACCAAGTTAGAAATGTTAATCAGTGGGAACTACAGGTTACAATGACCTCCATGGGAGAAGAGGCATTTGTTATTTGTTATTTGTTTTTTTGTTTTTGTTTTTGTCTTTTTTGGTACCAGGGATCAAATTTAGGTCCTTGAGCTTGCAAGGCAGACGGCAGAACTGCTGAGCTAAATCCCCAGCCCTAGAAATGTCAAATAAATACCCCAAGTTTTCTTTGTTCTAACAAATATAAAAGAGCACCTTACCAAGTTTCAGGTGTCACTGAGTAAGCTTACTACAACTGAAAACACAACTCAAAACCTCCACAGGAAGATAATAAAATGTAGGATCTCTACACTGAACAGTGGACCCTCAAGTTACGACCGGCCTGACATATGAACAACTCGGGTTAATTAGGTTAACTGAAGATTCATCTGCCTCTTGTTATCTATAGTGTATACCCAGGTAAATATCCAAATCTGAGCTGTACTGACTTACAACCAATTTGAGTTACAACCAGCCCTTGAGAACCAATTTAATTCATAAGTCAAGGGGCCACTGTACTATCCAGAATGTCCCTTAAAAACAATAATTACACCACATGCAGGGGTGTTGTGCTCCTGTAATCCCAGCACCCAGGGCAGGCCAAGCAGGAGTTCAACTTCAAGCCCTGCCTGGGATACTCAGATAGGCCCTGTCTCAAAATTTTAAAAAAGGGCTGGAATGCTGCTCAGTGGTAGAGCACCTTCAAGTTTAATCTTCACTGTAACAAAAACAAAATAAACAAGCAAATGAATATAAATACTTATATAATAAAAAGAAACAAAAAATCCTTTTATATTTGTTAGAACACAGAGAAACTAATATACTTCAAAGTGTTATTGCAGGTATTGTAAATATATCCAAAACATAAAGCAAACGAATGTTTATAATGAGTGAATGGATAAAATACTTTAGCAGAAAAACGGACACTATAAGAAATATAATGCCTGATAGTTGAATAAACATATAAGGTAATGATGGAAAAACAGAGTGAATGTTACAGTTAAATAATTTATTGCAGTAAATAGCACATTGCCCTTGATCCACCTCAGAACCCTCCCCTGCCGCTTATCCCCTCATTTTTACCCCTTTCTATAGAGCAGCTCTGGAGGCCCTCTTTCATGAGTCTTGGTCTTGAATCCATTCTAAGTGCTTACTTCTCATGCTCATTTTGAATTGGGGGAAAAGCCAGACAGCTCACAATGCTAGATCCAGTGAGGAAGGTGGGTGAGGACACAGCATAATGCCTTTCATAGGCTGCCCTTTTGCTGGAGGGCACACAGCACCTGCATTCACTTTTGTATTTTTTCATAACGTGTAAAGAGTCTCATTGATGCTCACCTCCAGAGCTTCCTCAGAAAGTGAGGAGAACAACGGGATAGTTGTGTCTGAAGTGAGGGGAAGTATTTTGAGGGCATTTAGTAGCAAAGTATCTTTTACTGTAAGAATTTCTTTTTATATCTGAACACACACTATATTTTTTATCAACCCTTATATCTGCATTTCAAAATTCTCTGGCTGCATTTAATGTCAGATTATAAATGACAAGAAGAAAACTCTTCAAACTAAAAATGTATGGCAGGTAAGTAACCAAACGTAAAGAATAGATAAAGAGAAACCTTTTTAAAACAACAGCATGGTCTCATTAACCTATCAGGTACAGTCAAGGAACATGATGTGCAAATAGTTGGGCCCCTAGAAGAGAAGGAGAAACCGTGGGTCGAAAAGTATCTTTTAGGAACTAGAGCCTAAGATTTCCTAAATGTGGAATTAACTCCCAATGTATTGCTCCATGAAGCTCGGTGAATTGAGTGAGTTAATCACAAAGAAATCAAATATAAACGTATGAGTCTGAGGCTGGAATGCAATTTGCAGGGACAAATAATGAAATGTGGTTTCGTAAGTCATATAAGATTTCTCTTTCTCCCCCTCCCTCTTCTATCCCTCATCTTTTTTTCCTCTCTTCCTATTCCTCTTCTAATAAACCTTTACAATTGCCCCCCCCAAAAGGCTTAGCTCACAGACCACATACAAAGAAGCCATAGGTCAGATTGGTCTAAATGCCAATTTTCCAGTAAGTGGCACAGCTCTTGAAAGGCAGAAACAAAGAAAACGTGTTAAAATTAGCTAGTGAATTAGACAATGTTATCATTTCTGTCTAGATGCTCCCCTAAAGCTTTCTTAGCCCATGGGTGAGGCTTTGGGGAGCTGTAATCTGAGGTCTCATCTGATATCATGGAAGTAGGACACTTATGAGTGGATCTGTCCACTGAAGAGCTGATAGTTGAATGTGATGGTGGGAGGTAAAGACTGGCTGGAGGCAGAGCTCCCTGGCCTGGAAGGGTCTACTGTACCTCCCTTGTCCTCTCTCAGTCTCTCTCTGCTTCTTGCTCCCTTGTCCCTCTGCCACCCGCTCTGCCATCCTACCTGCCTTGGAACCAGCCCACTACAGACTGAAGCCTGTATAAGCTGTGAGCTGAAATAAAGCTTTCTTCCCATGATTTGTGGAGGCCAGGTATTCTCAGTGAGAAGCTACCTAAGACAAAGATACATTATCTATTATGTTCTACTCATGGAACAAAGATACAAACGGTGGCTACAATCTCTGAAGCATCCATGAAATACTGGTGGCACATTTTTAGAGCGCTAGAAATAACTACAATCTAAATACAATGAAACTACTCTTAAATGATGACAGTAAAGACATATTTAGATTTTTAAAAATCTAAGAACTTGTTACTGATAGTTCTATGCTACAAATAATGCTAAAGGAAACCTTCAAGCATAAAGGAAATGGATATGAAGATGAACTAAAGGTTATTGGAAATGGGTGGAAAGATAGATATTGTAAAATTACCATTTTCTTCTCTGCATTTCCTTTTTTTAAGTCAGTTCAAAGAAAAATTACCAGCTTTTACTGGGAGTTTACGTGCAATATGTGAAAACAGATCCAACAGGGAGATGTAGATGGAACTATGCAATTGTGGAGTTTTAATCGTATGTGAATAGTAACTCTGAACAAAAAGTGGGTAAGAATGTATATTGTAATGTATATTGTAATCACTAACACATAAATTAAAAAAAGACAATACCAAGGGATATTGCCAAAAATATTCTAGCAAAAATAAAATACTGAAACATATTTGTTTAACACAAGAACAAAGAGCAGAACAAGAATTTTATGGAAAAAAATAGCAAAAGCTCCAACATAGTATTAATTACATTATGTTGGTATAGCTCAGTAGTGATGAACATATGGCCGTGCACTGCACTGGGCTGCTAGTATCACTGGAAGCTCTAAAAGATTCAACATCACTGATAAAGACTAAACACGCAATTTAAAAAGACAACAGGATAAAAAAGCAACACACATCTATTTTATAAGAGATCTGCTTTATGATAAAGATAATGGAAGTAAGAAATTGAGAAAGATACAGAATTAGCATAAGAAAGCTGTTATAGCTCCATTACTAAGGACAGGAAGCAGATTTTAGGAACAAAAGTTTATCTGAAATTGAGTAGACATCTTTAAATTATTAAAATGTCTAGTTATATGATGTAAAAGTACACAGATATGCAAGATTCTAAATATGTGTGCACCTTGGGCTGTAGAGGGAAAGGAACCCTTCTCCACTGTTAGTGGGAGTATAGACTGGTGCAACCACTGTGAAAATCGGTATAGAGATTCCTCAAAAAACTGAAGCTAGAAATTCAGTTTGACCCAGTTGTTCCTCTTCCCAGAAGAATTAAAAAAGCATCCTATCACAGCAATATTTATACACCCATGTTTATAGCAGCACAGTTTGTGCTAGCTAAAAGTCGGATACATCCCAAATGCCCATCAACATGTGAATAGATAAAGAAGATGTGGGTTTATTTTATGCAAGGGAGTACTGCTCAGCCATAAACAAATACAACAAAATGTAAAAAGGAATCTGCAATTGTAATTGGACACATCTATATTGATGTCAATTAACCAGTTCAAGGCAAACTCCAAATGTGTATGTTGGATCACCCAAGATCACAAACTGAATCTTGAACTAAATCTCCATAAACTTCGAAAGTATGATATTTTACACAATATGTTGTACCTGTTAGTCATGTAGAACTCAATAAAATATGTCATTTAAGAACACTAAATATTGGAAATTAACAAAGAAGATTTCACAAAAGGAATTGAAAACTACTTTAAATAAGAGCTAATGAACATAAGAACATAAAGTCTTTCTGAATTCACAGAAAGCAACTAAAAAACTGAGAAGGAAATACGTGTGTAAATCCTTATGTTATAAAAGAGAGATTTAAAAGTGATAAATTTCCAAATCAATATACAGTAAAATAACAAGAAATTTAAACATAAAACAGATCGAAGGAACAATATAAGTTTAAGAGCAGATATCAATAAATATAGAAAAGAGGCAAATATTTTTAAAAGATTAAGAAAATTGATAAACTACAAGCATAACTGATCACAAAAAAGATGAAGAAATAAGATGTAAAAATTTTAGGAATTGAGATGATATCAGTGTAGACACAGCACATTGAGAATGCTAAGGAAATATGTTTTTAAAAATTATGGCAAAAGTTCAATTACTTGGATGAAATAAGGGCTTTTAAAAATACAACATATCAAAATTGACTTACGAAAAAATATAAAACCTACGAAATTTCATATGTAATAAAAATTGAATACACTATCAAATTTATTTATACAAAGAAAACAAAAGGCTCAGATAAATTCACTAGGGAATTCTATCTCAAAATTATACAAAACATTTTTCAAAAATTCATTTCAATCTTACACAAATAATTTTATAAATCAAAGGAAGAGAAAGCATTTCCCAAACTCATTTTGTGAGCTTAGTATGCCACACAGAAACAAAGGCATTACAAGAAAATGAGATTATATAATATCCCTGTAGGACGATACAGCAATTCTTCACTAAATAAAATCACCCAACACAGGGAAATAGTAATATTAATAATTACATGGAATTGAATCAACAATGAAAATCCAGTTCAATATTTTATAAATCAATCAATGAAAATTGATCATATTAAGGGGTAAGAGGAAAATACTTATATTTATTTCAACAGAGTAGAAATACACTTGTAAAAATGCAATAACTCTATAATAAAAACTCTCAGCAACCTAGGAATAGTAGGGAAGTTGCTGTATCTGATAAAGGGCATCCATTAAAAAATCTACAGCTCACAGTGAATTATTATGTTTCCTTTTAAGATTGAGAACAAAATAAACAATGTCAACACTCACCATTTTTACTTAAAATTGGCATAAATATTGTAGGAAAAGAAGCAAGCTTGAATTTATTTGTAGGTATCAGTTTATGGGTAGACTTCTAAAGGATCAAGTTGAAAACTACAAGAACCAATAAATGAACTTTGAATGAATACAGAAAATAGAGTTAGCACTCAAATTTTCTTCTAATAATAGCGTGAAAGAATTAAAAATATTTCAAAAATAGTTTTAAAATAATTCAAAATGTAATACTGAAAATGAAATTTACCAAGACACAAGCTCTCTACTGCAAAAATATTATGAATAATTATAGAAGATATAGATACACAGAGAAATATATGGAGAGAAAAATACTGCTTATTGATTAAATGATTCAATATTCTGATACTGCTAATTTTCTCCATATTTGTACGTCGATTCCAAGCAAATACCAAGTAATGGTTTCTGTAATATAGAAATGCAAAAATCCTACTATAAACAAAACAATGTTCAAAATGAAATGTAATGCTGGTCCAGCTACCTAACCTATCTCTAAGTGTATTAAAGGTGATACGAACAAGACACAGCACCCGCAAAAGAGGGGCAGAGACAAAGAATGAGGCTGCAGGAGTCGATCTCTGTAACACGATCACATCACGTTACGCGATGCCGCAAGAACTCATTTAAACACCTGTCTAAATCCAGCCATTACTGCATACCATACACAAAGCCTTACTGGAATTTGTTTTCTAAAAGTTAAAATTAGGAAGTGTCTAAAATAAAGAATAATACCTCGACTTCACGAGCAAAGACAACAGCAAAGGCTGAGAAGCAGCACTCAAGATGACCATTCGCTCCATGGCCATCAGAAGGGCTAAGATTGAAAAAGGTGGTCGGCCTCAAATGTTATTGAGGATAGGAAACAACTGAAGCACATTTAAAAATCAGGCGTTTTTGGTGAATGTGTAAAATATTATTATTAACTTGGCAAAATTTCAGCAGTTTCTTGTAGGGTCAAATGTTTATCTGTCCTTTGAGACAATCATTTCATTCCCAGGTGTTCACACAAGGTAAATTTAAAATTAACCATAAAAAGTCTTATATGAGGTTATTCGTAGCAGCAAACCCAAATCTGGAAATAACCCAAATGTTCATCAATGGGAGAAAGGATGGAATTTTGTTTAGTCATGCAGAATGTTACTTAGAATTTTAAAAGATAATTACCTTACAATGTACACAACATAAATAAACCTTAAAACATTATAAACAAGAGGGTGAAGACACAAAATAGTGTGAACCACATAGATTCATTTCTTTGAAGTTAGCTAAATGGTAAAATGAATCCATGTTCTAGTTTTCCAGGGGTGGAGCCAGACTGGAGGGACTCACAGTGGAATTTTCTGGAATAATCGAAATGTTCTGTGTCCTATTCTTAAAATATTTTATCATTTTAATTATGAAACATTCCAAGTCTCCTCTTAGAATTTGAAGTTCAACATTTTGGAGAAGCTATGCAGATTACTTTTGTGCACTTCTTTTGCATATGAAAAAGCAAAACTAGCACTTGATGATAGAAAAGCATCCTTTACCCCTTTGGGTCTGAAGAAGCCATCAACACAAGTCTCACAATTGATGCCAGCGGTGTTCTGTGTGCAGTTAATGCACACACCCCCTCCGATGTACTTTCCATGTGTATTCAAGCTCAGGTTTCTTCTGGCAACGTTTTCATCATAATAGCATTCTTCAGCTTTTCCATGGCAATTACATGCTACAGCAGGAAACAAATAAATTGGTAAACATGAATTTTCGTTTTCAAATGTTTAAAAATTATCTCCTGTTACACATTTAGCACACATACAAATGGATTTAGAAAGTGTTTGGATTTATTGCATATGTTATTAATTCAGACTTTTAGTGAAATTTGAAATAACTATACATAAAGTTGAAATTGGCAATATTTTACTGATATTTTAAATATAAATGTGCAACTTCATGTAGTTTGGCACACAATGTCCTGTTATAGCACATAATAAATTACTGAAGAGTAGCATCGAATGACTGACACCCAGGCAGTCTGCAATGAATAATTCCTATATGGGAATCGCTGTGCTGTATTCTATGGGTATAAATGGACTTGTGCAGTACCATTCTTCTCTTCTGACAACTAAACTATAACCACCAAAATTTACTTGTTTAGCATGGCAGACTCTTCTGTTTCTAATTGTTCAATTGCCTATGACTGATTAGAACTGAAATCAACTACTTTTCTTACTTTAGCTATCTGCGCCAAAGAGAAGTGTAGTAACTCACCGAAGAGCAGCTCATCAGTGTTGGAAATAAAGAGGTGAAGTTAAGTTTCCAGAGTTTGTACTACTCAGTCCTAACTTCTACTTGGTGAGTGATGTACAAGGTAGGTGTCTAGTTATCAGGACAGAATGAGAGTAATTAGTAGTCATGGGGTGGAAAGAACACTTTCATTTCACTAAGACTCGGTTTCTCACTAAAACATGCGGTAGTCTATAGTAATTACCAGATAAGGATATTTAAAGGCATCAAGGGAGGTAAGGCATGTCAAATCATTAGCATAATGCCTTATAAGTAAGTTCTCAATTGATTTGCCCCTATCGTCATCCTTCTGGTCTTTTTCACTTTACATTACAGGACTTTAAAGAAGGTTAAAAAAAAAAAATCGCTTTCCCCAGAAAGGACTTCAAAAGATACATGGCATTTACATTAGGGTAGGAACTACAGCCAGATATTCACACGGAGAATCCTTCCTATCCAAGATGTTGGGTCTGTGACTTGTCCTTACATTGATTTGTGTGTGTGTGTGTGTGTGTGCATGCATCCAGCCCTATTTTTTATTTCATAAGGGTGGCATTTATATAAGGTTCAGAGCCACTGCATTTGCAAACAGCAAATTGTGCTCTGATCTCCATATTAGCACAAGCAAACCCCAAAGGCTACATGGGAACTACGCGAATGGCCACCATGCCAAGTGCTGGTGATGGACAGTTAGTTTCCAGGTTTCCCCACAGACAGAGCACCAAGGTTGAATGCTGGGGTGTCACGTGTGATGTTCAGCTACTTCCTGTTTGTCAGCCTTGGACACTGGAAATTCAAGTGTTAAAAAGGTTTCATTATTCATTCTTAGAGCTCTCTTGCAAAGGCAAAATACTTAGGATAATGCTATAAAGAAAGGAAACAGCTCAATAAATAACAGTGGCAGCGTGGATTGAATGATATACATGATACTACGGCTTGTGCAGCTGCATGAGCACACACAAAGGTGATATGTATGAAAATGGAACTTCTGACCAATTAGCACATGAATTTAAATTTTAGTGATCTGAACTGTTTCCATAGATCACTTTCTTTAGATCACTTTCTGCACCATTGATGTGATGACAACATTTCCTTGTAGGCTCAGCAATATTGTGTCTTGTCAATACCTCGAATTAATAAACATTCAAGTGTTTGTTGAGTGGATGAACACATACTTTGATAAATTTTAATTGATTCTTTTTCAGATATGAGTGTGACTGTGTCTTGGTTAGGTTGGAAAAGTCATTTTTTTCCCTGAGAGAAAAAAAATTGACCTTTGCTCATTTTAAACAGGTTTACAGGATTTTCTTGTTGATATGTGAGATCTTTTAATACAGAAGGATATGAACTCCTTGACATATTTGTTACAAATATTTCCCGTTCGTTGACTTCATTTAGAATGTGATAGTTTTGCTACATTAATGGAGTTTCAAACTTTATTCTAGGGAACACATAGTAATAAGTACAAATCTGTAGGCATTATAAATAGCTTCATAGCTGGAGGATTATACCCTAAAATACTTAAACATCCTCTTTTAGAAATATAATGCAAAAAAATGAGGGTTCTCGCTGCCAGTATAAATAGTAGATGTAGCGTGATACAAACTTATTCTCACACTACTTAGAATTGGTGGTGCTTTGTGTTATGCAGGCAGACACTCATGTCTGAGAAACAGGTCTCTGCGCATTCCTGCAGCAAGGACCCCGGACACTGCAGGCCTGGTCACTCAGTCAGCTGCCCCCTGCCAGCTCGAATCTGCAGCAGCAGAGAACAAGGTCAGTGCCTGAGGACCCAGAGCCATTTTCTGCTTCAGCGTCAGTACCTTGCTGCTTCTCAGACTGTCTGAGACATGAGCGAGGAATCCATTCTTCAAGCAAAGGCTTAGCAATGGAATGAATATTCATTGCGTTTTGGAGACAGACTTATATCTTGCCTTAAACAAGCTCGTTAAGTGAAAATCCAAATTAAAGCCAAATGAATTAGAAGGTGATCATCCATTTTGTAGAGGGATTTATCATATCGCAGCAGAATTTGCTAGGTAATGCAATTCAAGTTGGAAAAGAAAACTTTTTACATTTAGAAATACCCATGTTGCCAAAACTACTGTGTTTATGTAGGATTTTATGGCTTAGATGCCCATCTTTAATTTCCGGGTTTTAAAAATATTTCTTTTTCAGTTTGGAAACACAATCTCTCTTCTACTCTGCAAAAAATAGGAAAAATTGCTCTGTAACGTCAATATTTAAAAGATACATATAATAGCAAATGAAAGTCTTTTGCTTTGTTTTATTCTTCCTCTGTTGCAACCAAGTTGATCAGTCATTCTTTTGTGTGTTTGGTTAGACTTCAGTATACTGGGAGTAAGTGGTGAAGGATTCTGAAATGTGGGTAAGGTGATTCTGTGTGATGTGGTGTCGGGGACAACAGAAAGAATCTCAACCCTCAAAAGCTGCTCTCACTTATGATTGTTGATATTTCACAAAAGGAGGACAAATTTAGCTATAAACATCTCTAGTTTCTCATTCTTTATGGCTGAGTAGTACTCCATTTTATAAACAACAACAACAGCAACAACAACACATTTTCTTTATCCAGTTTCCTGTTGATGGGCAATTGGGCTGCTCCCAAGTTTTTCTATCATGAATTATGCTGCTATCAACATGGGTGTACACATATCTCTGTGGTATGCTTCTTTTAATCCTTTGGGGAAGGTACCAAGCAGGGATGCACACTGATTTGATACTCTTTTTTTTTTTTTTTTTGGTACCAGGGATTGAACTCTGCACTTGCAAGACAGGCCACCAAACCACTGAGCTAAATCCCCGGCCAAGGCCATACTCTTGAGTGAAATAAATAGAAAAAAAATAAATATCAAATAGTTTCTCTAGTGTGAGAAACTGAAAGTGTAAATAAGGACTAAAAGGTATAATAGATAATGTGAAACAGGAAGAAAAGGGGCAAAGGGGAAGGGGAAGTGGAAGAGGGAGGGAAAGGAAAGATGGGAATGAAATTAACGTGAGAAAAAGAAAAAATGGAAACAAAGTCTTTGTAAATAGGGAGGGAGGGAAGGGTTGAGAATGGGGAAAAAATAAGAACCAAGATGGATTATGTAAAGGTGCAAATTTCCAATGATGGATGTCATTACATCGTATACCTTAAATGTACCAGTAAAATTAACTACGTTTTTAAAAAGGAGGGTAAGTTTAAGGCATTTGGGAGGAAATATTCCTGTGTGGAATTTCATAGAAAGTCATCCCCAGGAATGGATGGGAGAAGTTTTGGAAAACTAAAGTATTCACTCGTTTGAGGCTGGAGTAGTTGACGAAAACTCATCTTGGTGGTGACCGTTCAGAGTAGCCCAGGCCTCTGGATCTGTCCCACTGATTGTGAAAAATGGTACATCTAAAAATAACTTTACATAAAGGCCGGCAGAAATTAAATGGCAAATGATGTAAGTGTCGAAGCTGATAGCTCATGTAGTATCTTAAACTGAGAAATATACTTGATGGCTGGAGAAAATTTTACAGTTAAAGTGTATGATGATTCAATAGTCTTGAAGACCTATCATGTCTAACATAAGTGATGCATGATAAATACAAGCTGAATTAATGTGTATTGAATGAATATACAGTATTGAGATTAGTTTAAGAAACCCACAACCTGTTTTGGAATCCATAAAGACTGTTAAGGTGAAACTATATGGTTAGGGTTGATTTACCAAAATATCATCATTAAAATTCAGTTTCATTGGGCTTCATGGTAGTTTGGGTTTGCTGTCCAGCCCAAGTCTGTTCTTACGTCTTTGTGTAGCTTGGGAAAATCTCCAGAAACATGAGTTTCTCACGAATCCCTGTTGCCATGTTGGTCCGGTCAGCAGTAATTTCAGCTACTTCATTTCCTAGGTATTTCCTTCGGGAAAATTACATTCACTTAACTTCAGAGTCATAACTTAAATTATTGATGAGTACTTACTGACACATTTGCATAGTCGTTTTATTGTTTTTCATTAGTGGCATATTTCTTGGGGGTCACTGTCCAATGGTTTTATAGTGCAATTCATCAATGATCATCATTAACTGTACTTTTAATATGAGTGGCTCTAGATGGTTGCTACTCAGAATCTATATTTTAAAGATATATTCACCCATCATTAATCAGCACGCCAAGCAGACACGGACACCCCCGTGTTTATTTCAGCATTATTCCCAACAGCCAATATATGGAAAAAGCTAATGAATTCATCAAGAAAATGTGAAATGTATATGCGCTGGAATGTTGTGAAGGCATTCAAATGATGAAATCTTCTCTCTGCGATAACGTGGATGGAAGTGGTTAACATTACATTCAGTGAAATAAGTCAGGCCCAGAAAGACAAATACCGCATAACTCCCTGATGTGTGGAATCTAAAAAAGTTGATCTTGTAGAAGATGAGTGTAGAACAGAGTGTACCAGACAGTGGGAGGAGTCTGCAGGAGGGAGATAGAAGAGAACATGGTGCAGTGGGCACCGAGTTAGAGGACGAACGTACTGGCATCTTGTGGAACCGTAGGGTGACTACCGAAAATAATAAATATTGTATATTTTGAAGAAGCTACAAGAGTCTGGATGTTTTTACCACAAAGAAATAATAAATATTTGAGGCAATATATTCACCTACTCTAATCTAAATCTTTCAAATTATACATGTGTCAAAACATCATATGGTACCCATAAATATTTATGTCAGATGCATACATATATTTGTATTTCCATAAATTGTATCTCTTTTGTCTGTCACCACAAGGTGACAGAACTCTTATACCATTCACGACTACTGCTTCCAAACATCACCTCTAGGAAATATAACTATTGAATCCTGAGGAACAAATTTCACCCTGATTTTCCTCTCTTTTTTAGGTGATAAGTATTTAGGAAAGAGGGGTAAAAAAATAGAGCTGAAATGGGTAGACCTAAAATGAGCTGGAGCAAATGCATGTTTTGGAACTATTTCACAAGTATGCATGCTTAGAAGGCTAGTTTGTGCAGTCCAGATGTTATTTAATGTTTACTTACAATTCCAATGGTCTGTGTATATATTATGCTGTAAGCATAGGGTTTATCCTAAAATCACTAAGTGTACAGTATGTTTTTAGGTGTTTCCCATAATCCTCACATAATGGTAAATCCAGAGGTCTGGTAAATATTTCCAAATGATAAAACAAGTAAGTGGCTAAGATAAAAGAAGTAAGTGGCTAAGATAACAGGGTAAAGGATTTGCCAGCTCTTGCTTTGGATGAACCATAGGTACAAATTGGAAACAGGAGCTTCCCTACAATCACCATGTCCCAGCACAACAACAGTGACCGCTCTGGCGCTTCTCAAGAATGTACCTTCGCATTCCGTCTTTGTCAGGAAGGTCCCAGCTCTCCATGGTTTCTGATGGAATCCTGGGCAGCACTGGTCACAGCTCTCACCGCACGTGTTATGCTCACACTCACAGCGTGATTTCTACCCAGAGAGAGGGGGGAGCGCACTTTGAGCATTGATTAGAATTGCACAGGAAGTGGGTGTCTCTTTGAAAAAATAGTACAAAGGAAAAAGAAAGCTTCTACAATGTGCACTACAATGTAAAATTCCTCTCAGACTGGGCAGCATATGGCACCTTCCTTGGAGTGGGTCCCTTTGATCAACAGTCAGCTTTGGGAGGTCCAGGCTTGTTCTGGAATCACTGGGTTTATGTTTGGAAGAAAGCAGGAGGCCTAACAGGAAGTGGTCTTGAAGTCTGAATTCTCCTGCTCTGATCCTCGGGGTCTGCAGATTTTCAGGGACAGATGTGTCTATTTTAAAGTATGCCTCCAGTGCTGTTAACATTTTGGGGTGTGGCAAAAAGGAGAGTTGATTCACACACCTGTGCCTCTCAAGAGCAGATGAAGAACAGAAATCTAGCATCTCCAGGATTAAACCTCCAGTGTGTGTGTGCTCTGAGTACAGTCTCAATTTACCACATGCAAATGTCCTTCCAAGGAAGGCTGCACAGTGGGCTCTCATAGCCTGGGAAGCACTGTCCATCGGTGCCCCCGATAACAAACACAAGCCATGCAGCAAGCAGCACTACCACCTCTCCAGGAAAATATATCGGGGCTTTGAAACCATCCTAGGAGATAACAGTCTATAATCCATTACCTAGAAAGCTGCCTTTGAGTAGGACAATGTTTGTGGTATAGTTTTAGTAGAGGCAAAACAAAACAGAAATACTAACCATGGTCCTACCATCACTCATCCATCTTCCTATTTAATATATTTCTTCCAAACGCTGCATGGCAGATAGTTTTGAATTTCACCAGTTTATTTGTGACAAGGAAAACAGATGCTCCTTCATCGTCTGTGGATTATGTGCACCTTGCACACTGTAATGAATGAGACATTCTAGCAAAAGCATCCCAGGATTTCCTGCCCTGGCAGGACACTCTCTGGATTCCTCTCTTCTACTCCACTCCTCTTTGCCTTTGCTCTACACCTCACCTTCCTATTCTGTGGCCGTTTATAGATCTACCTCCATATCCATTTTTCATTTGTTTGCATTAATTTTTTGATTAAAGTTTTTAAAAGAAATGGACAGGCTGAGTGATGGCAGGCGTCCTCTAAAGTTAAATCATGCAGGCAGCTGTCAGAGCAAGACAGGCATCAAAACAGATACCACTTAGGAGCCTTGTGGGGGGAAAAAACTAATCTGCTTTCTGATACGGTGATGGCTGACTTCAAAGTCTATCATCTTCACTGCCAGCTCCATTTCACCCGCGTGGCTTTGTCTTACACTGTCTCAGCGGGGACCCAACACCCATTCACGGGTGTTCCCTGTCAGCAAACCTTTTTTGTAAAGCGCTTTACAGTTCAGCTCGCCCTTTTCCCTAAGCCTCCTGTAGATGTACATACATTTGTGGCTGGATCAAGCGGACAAGCCCTGGCATGGCCATAGCAGATGCACATCCCTCCGACCGAAATGTCCTTGACAGAGTAGTAATACTGCAAAACAAGCCAGAGAGAAATCCTGTTAGGGTGGCTGCAAGGTGAGAGTAACAGATACTCAGTTACAATTTGAGATTTCGCTCTTAGGCTTCACTGGAAGCCTGTTCGTGGCTCCGGAGGACAAGCGAGGGCTCACAAAATGGATCGAGTCACCCCCTAGCTTCCCAGTCATAGTCTAAGGGAAACATGCTCCTAGTTTGCGTTAGGTGGGCTTTGCAGACATTACTTCCTGGCAGGTGATACAAAAGCCATGCTCCACTACCCATTGCTAACAGGAGTTTTTGTTTCGGTTTGGGTTGGTTTTGAATCTGAGGCCGAGGACAATAATTCTCCACTAAAGCCATTCGATAGACTTTCTTGAAAGAAAAACTCTATTTATAATGAGAGGAACTTCAATACTCACACCTTATCAAGCAGGCTATTTTATTGCAGGGATTCGAAAGAAAACCATAAATTTATGAGAATTATACTCTTAAGTTTTTATTCAAGCTTTGAGAGTTTGGATAAAAACACTGCAAGTTTGAAGTGCAGAACACTTGCTTTTTTATTATTTCATTAAAATGCTCAATTACTTTCCTCTCTGCAGCTAATACAGGGATATGCTCCTAATATTTTAACCTATTAGCTATTTTTAAAGATGATTATTACTAGAGAGCTGGCTTAATATTAAAATTTTAATTAATATGTGTATAAAATTTAATCATTGTCGGCGCCCTTTGCATTATCATATGGTATCTACAGAATGCTCTTAATAAAGTATGGTTCTATTATCCCAATTATGCATGCAAAAAATATCAGATTTAGAAACAATAAGTATATGGAAAACAAGTCTCAGTCTCCTGGTCCTCCTTTTCCTTTTCCTTCTGCCTTCTCCTCCTTCCTCTTCTTCTAGTCTCCTCCTTCGACGTCACTTCCTCCTCTCGTTATTTATGTATGGCACCTTTTAAAAATATTTTTCTTACATTTTCTGCATATACCTAAAATTTGAACCAATGGATACTTCTAGGAAATCTGAGTAATGGAAAAAAATCTCCTTCGCACTTAACGTGATCGTTTAATAATATAGATACTAATGGATATATGTGCGCACAATGCTGGTGTAGTTACATTTGAGGAGGCCTTTAAAATTGGGAAATTGATTTTACATATAAATGCAAAATGCTTTGCTTCAGAATCATGAGAAAGCCCAGAAATTCAATATCCTATTTTTATATATTTAAATTTGTATCCAGTGTTTATTGAACTTGAGTACTTTCAAAAATCATATTTATATGTTAACTTGTACTGTACTATTTTAAAGGCTCATGCACAATACAGTTATAAATAATAGATGTGCACCCTAACCCTCACTCTGCCTTCTGCAAAAGATGATAAAAGGAACACCAATTTATTTTCATTGATTTTTTTACCTTGATAAATATACTTTTGAGAATGAATAAATTTCACTTCAATATTATTCAGTCTTCTTTGATGTTTACCTTAAGCCATGCCACTATTATAATTAAAGATAATTTTTTAAAAATATGAAGATCTACATATTGCTATAAAATAATGATTCCTTCTACTTAAGGCAATTGACAATATGTTAAAATATAATACGAAGTAAAGTTGTTTCAGGTTTGGAAAACACTAAGCAAAAAAATATCTGACATATGCTGCATGTGGATAATTGAAAACACTACATGTTGTTTTGTGATGAGGGAGAGGTTAGGTGTGGAGCAGTTACGTCGGGGGAGGGAAGGCTGGGAAGAATATTCACTGTTCAGGGCATGTGATAGAGGTGTGGCAGTTGGTGGCAGAGGTTAGGAGCTTAGTAGAGCCCTCATCGAACTCAGTGCTTTATCTAATGGTGTTCCCCCTCTAATCCTCTCTCATAACTTATGCTTTTAGTAATACAGCTGACACCTTGTGGACATGGATTTGCCTTATGGATTTATGGCTGAATTGAATCTCTTGGTAACACGTACTGTCTTAGTCATGTAGAGAGGTGATATAAACCAAAGGGTGGGTGTAGCTTGAACAAGAAGAAGCACAGTTATCATTCCAGGCAATCTGGCTGGTCATCAAGTCATAATTCTATAAATTCTAGTTTAACACTGGAAGATAGCACTTTCATTATCTCCATCGGTCAAAGATCTGTAGGAAAGATTCTTTAATCTTTTGTGAGTTGTATTTTTTTTTCAATCTGGGGATTAAACAGTATCTTTTCATTGAATTACACTCCCAGCCCTTTTTTAAATTGTCGAATTGAGACAAGGTATTGCTAAGTTGCCTAGGCTGGGCTCAAACTTATGATCTTCCTCCTTAGCCTTAAAAATAAAAATGTTTATTTTTAACTTTTATCACTCTTATTAAATACACATTGGAAAGCACATCAACAGTAAGTCAGTTTACAATAAAACTGAACAAGGACATTGTACTTATAGAAAAAGTTTTCAGCTAAAAGCCCATAATGTAGACAGTGAGACACCATGTTCATACTTTTTAAGTATTGGAAGGTGAAAAATAGAAGTCTTTTGCTACACAGCAAGGAAAAAACAAGTCTGAAAGAAAGAAAGATATGGAAATAGAAATTTCAGAATCTAAAAAAATGAATGTCTTTGTTCAGATACATATCTACATTTACAGTTTGTTTCATTTAGTTATTTTTAAAAGCTCACAGACAATGAGGCATCACAAGGAACACAGAACCATAGTGCTAAGAAATGCCCAGATCAATACACTATTGAAATATCTGGTAACGATGTTAAAATCATTTACTGTGTATTGTGATATTCTCAGAGTTCTGAAGTGAGGGTAAACTGACTGGAGAGAATGCTCCTTATAATGCCAACCTTTCATATCAAAAGCACAGAAATTATACATTACCATGGGAAAAGAGTTGCTGATTTTATTATTCACAATCAACCATTCCAGTGCTGACACCAGAGACCAAAAACTGTTAGAATTTATAACTGGATTTTTAAGAGTGATTTAAAAAGATGAAAAATGGAACCCTTTGGGGGAGAAAATCTCTTCTACCCCGGATTTAATATGTTGAGGACATCAAAGGATGTAAAATTAAGATTTTTAAAAAAATTAACAAAAAAGTAAATCTTGCTGGAAAATCTGTGGCTTTGCATTCTGCAAAGTAATCAACAGGAGTAAAGTGGAAACTTTTACTATAATAAATAACTACTTAATTCTATAAGTTATGATAACTTTGTGGATAGTACATATTGTTTCATTTTTAAAAGTAAATCAAACAGTATGTAGAATCATTTTTTTTCTCTGCAGCAATACTTTCATAAACTATGGCTCATGATTCATTGCTGGAGCATAGAACAAAAATATCTGATGAGACAAAACGGCCCACAGGCCAGCAACATTGATATTTGAGAACTTTCTACAACTTTGCAGAATGGCACTTCTCAGTCCTACCCTAGACCTATTAAATTAAAAATCTGTATATCCACAAGAACATCAGCTGAGTTTATGTACATTCAAGTTCAAAATATAGCTGTGTGTGTGTGTGTGTGTGTGTGTGTGTCTATGTCTGTGTGTACTGGTCATGATATAAAATGAATTTCTTAGAGTGGGTTGTGGCCCAACATTTTTAAAGCTTTTAGTAATTCCTCCCCAGTGCCAATTATAGCAATAGTGCAGATCACCTAAAATGATGAAAATTAACCTTAAAAATCATTATGAGCTAGATATTATGATTTTTTGTGTTACAGAAGAGGAAATTAAAGTAAAAGAATATTTAAAGGCTTGATAAATAAAAGCCTTGTTAAGTGCACACTTAATAAATGGTAGAGGTCAGATTTGAACAAAGGAAGGTCTGCTGAATTTTTAAATCTTTCATAATTACCATTCCTACAAATCACTGAGATTTCTTTGTAGGTTCCTTAACAGATAATTAAAAAGATAGGTGTCAAAGCATTCATAAGTTTGATTATGAGTCATCATAACTTACTCTTCTTGTGACAATGGGGTCAATTTCTCTTGGGTCTTTGTGAGCGAACATCATCAAGTCAGCATTCAAGGTGCGGATCCTCTGAAATCTCAGACGGATGTACCGGGCAGAGGTGAACTCCAGCAACTCAGGAGAAGGGTCAGCAGCACTCGGTCTCCCATTGATCAAGGAAATGTGGATCTACCCAACACAGAGAGTAGTTTCCACAGTTAAGTTTACCAAAGTTAAATATCTGGTTTGTTCGCTTTTTCTTAGAAAATAAAAAGTAAGTTCCTGTTTCCCAGTGATGGCACTTGCTTATTCAGCTTAGTCCCTGAAACACAGTGGAGCGGTTGAGGTATTTCATGAGCCATTTAACACGCAGGTATGTAATTCATTTGCATACGTTTTAGATAGGCTCTCTACTCCATTCTTAAAAAGAAAAAGCTGACAGCTTTTTTCTTTATTTTAATTAATGAACTAATGTAGTGCTGGGGATCTGGGCAAGAATTCTTCCACTGAGCTACAGCCCCAGCTGGCCTACACCGTGTCCCGCAGTAGCCCATATCCCTCCCTTACAAGCACGGCATCATCTTGCCCTTTTCAGGGCCTCCATAGGTTCTTAAATCAATTATTCACTTTCAGAAAATTATTGTGCCCTAAATGACCTAACAATCTGATGTGTAGTGAGAAGCAAAAGGTACAAAATATTTGATAGAATCAGGAATCTTAAAGTTATTCTGAACTTGAAATCATCTTATTATAACTATATCTATATATCTAAATATATTCCTATTAAAATAAAAGGAGCCAAGATTGATAGATTTAGAGGAAAACCAGACAAACCTATGCTTACAGTAGGCAATTTCAATATTTTTTGTGATTCATTTATTTTTTAGTAGTTGATAGACCACGAAGACAAAAATGTAGCGTGGCCATAACACTCTCATGAAAAAACTACATTGTAAGAAAACAGATTAAGCTTGGACAGAATGGTGAATTGTTTAGGAAAGTAATTTGGCACCAGAAAAATATAGAATTTAATCAGATCGTTTTTCATGTAAAAAAGGAGACAATGCCAAAGAACTTCCCCCAAACAAACATGAAGTAACGTATACTCATAGGGATATCTCAAGAAAAGAGAATTGTAATGAAGGATTAACTGTTGGATAAAATCAAAAGAACCCTGTAATAAATAGTATGTCTCTATACATAAAGGATTCTCATAATCAACAACATGACATAAAAATGGACAAAATGATATAGAGGCCCCACTGAAAGAAACAGAAATATAAATAAATGGCTTGTAAACTATTGACAAAATACTGAAACTCATAATGAGACAGATATTGATTAGGAGCATGCTGATAAGCTTATTCCTTTTAATCTGGAAATACTCAAGAACATTAATAATATTCTCTGATGGTAGCAGTGAATGCATAACAGAATACCTCTTGTATATATGGGTACAAAGGTAAATGACACAAACACCACAGAAATTAATTTAGTAACAACTATGAAAATTAGAAAAGCATGGAATTTTTGATCTAACAATTCTAATTTCTGGGAATTATGTTATAGGTATAAAACTATATTGACATTGTATTACATATGGACTGAGTATATACAAGGTACCAACTGTTTCCATACGCCTCTCCCAACTTTATATATTGAACCCTTAATTCCAGTGTGACAGAATTCGGAAGTGGGTATCTGAGAGGTAAATAAGTTATAAGGGTGGAGGTCTCATGAATGAAATTAGTGGTCTAATAAGAAGAGGAAGGAGAAGTCAGCAATCTACAGTGAAGGAAGACAATCCCCACAAAAATGCAACCACACCACACTGGCTCCCTGATCTCACATGGAAGTGTGTGGAACTGTCTCATACAGCTGGAATGAACAAATCCCATCAACATGAGATCAGTTAAGTAAATTACGTATCTATGTAGTGAACTTGTGCAGCCATCGGAAAGATTAAGGAAACTCTTATATACTGATAGGAAATAGTACTTTCATTTTTTATACAATACAAATGGATTATTACCTACAGAAAAAATTTAACAACTCAAAATATTCAGAGGTAGGTTTTGAATTGAAAGTACCCACAGAGACCCATTTGTGCACACGTGGGAGGAGGGCTGAAGAGAGAGGAATGTTAGAAGTGGGAGCTCTGTGATAGAGCAAGAAATGTTCAGCTGCAGGACATTTGGTGCTTGCATGGGGAAGCTATGGCTTGAGGTCCCTTTTTGGAATTTTCACCCACTTTTGCAAGAAGACACAGCATATGCGTTATTTACATTTTTTGATAAGAGAGGTGATTGTGTGCATTTCCATTCCTAACATCTTGCATTTAGAGAATCCTAGTGAGCCTTTTACAAACTGACTGCCAATAAACTACTTGAGTCACTACAGGAATACAGCAAAATTCTGAGATCGGGAACTAATTCTGATGTTACCAAGAATAGACTCAGACTGCCTCATGATCAAAATATGAAATTTTCCAACTAACTGAATCTAACATCAATACTCAGTGAAGGATAAATTCACTTAACACATCCGAAGATGACAGAATGAAGGTTTTTCTAAAATACTGACCTTAAAATACGGAATGGCTGCTAATGCAGCAACTTGTTTTTCTTAGAAATTAATTTTGGCACCCCAAAAGTCACCAGTGATCCTAAATTCATGCTCAGTTTCTTTCAAAGTCTCCCTCAACTGGACCCAAAATATTATTTAAAAGATAGGACGTTACATATGTCTAGGGTTAAATTTCTAAGAATAACTATGGTTTTCTTGGTGTTTAACATTGCAGTGAACTCCATTTGTGCCAGACAAGTAATCTGTAAGCTCCTCGCTTAAACATAGAAGGAATTTTTTCGAAAGAGGTGTACATGTTTCTCATTTAATCAACCTCATGATAGAACCACAAAATATTCAGCAAAAGAACACTTCTCTCCACAGCTTTGGTATTTTTCCTCAAGTTATTCTGCCAAGAGATCTTGTGAGTCATCTGTCCCAAGCTGTTTCTTGGACATAAAGTCAGCCAGCTGTTTGGCCATGTTCTATACAGCTTAGCTTCTTTACGCTTTGTTTTCTTCTTTCTTCCTTCCTTCTTTCCTTCCTTCCTTCCACTGTCCTTCAAAATAAATCATAGCATCAGATAGGATATTTCCACTAGCACAATGCTGTGTGATTTTAAGTTTACTGGATAACTTAACATATTTCCTGATTTCCTATGGGGTGAGAACTGGGGGTATCAGCCTTCAGGAAAGATGAAAAGTATCAGTCCCCAACACCACTGCAGCCTTGCTGAGAGGCCCTGGAAACTCTCTAGCAGTCTAGCGCTTCTGAAATGGTTTCTATTACAGACATGTTGGTGAGTGTATGTTCATGCTGTCACAGGAATTCATTCCAACTGAAAATATCTGAATACAATTATCAACGGGCTTCTGAGCTTCTGCAATTTTCTCTAAAAGGAGTTTTTACAGACAAAAAAGGAAGAAACCAGCAGAATATCTTTTTTTGTTATCCATTGTCTACATCAACATTAGTCTCTACTTATGTAAATTACCTTTTACTAGTTCAAGCACACTATATATCACATTTTCATTGCAGATGGATAGCACTTTTATGCTTCTATGGCATTTTCACTTTAAAATAAATGTAAAATGTTTTATGGAAAAATAATCTGGTTTCTGGTATGGAAAGTATCCCCTTGTTAGATGATTACATCAACTGCTGGAAGTGACAGTGTCCCTGTACCTTCCCAATGATACAAGTTTATTGAGGCAATGCTTGAAAGGGGAAGGAAGACTGCTTGAAAGATCATGAAGCGTCAAAAATTTTGAAAAGAGTAGCACAAGTACACAAAAGTGAAATGTGGCATGCTCTCTTCACACATTGTCATGTGATCAATTTCTAAACGATGCGGATGAAATTAGTAAGAGCATTTGAAAGTAATCTGACCAGAGGATTCATAACAATAAGCCCATTCGATTAGCTGGGTATTTGTGTGGCTTAAATAAATTCTATATGAGTGGCTGAGACATCCAGAAACCTCCTAAGTCTAATCATGCTCATGTGGCGATACTTCAGAGAGGGGGAGGAAGATGATGAAGATAACTTTGCAAATGGCTCTCAACAGTTTCATTTTAGACTACGTGAGAAACCAAATACAGTGCACATGGACAAGAGAAGCAAACCATAGGAAGCCTGGCCCACTGCATCAACTTGCCCTTGGATCTCCAGCCCAGGGAAAAGGCTTAGCTCTTAGTCATGAGTGTGGATGGTAAATAGGCACCTTCTGGGTAATATTTGATACTTCCCTTCTGTGTCCTACTATTCTAGAGCTTCTTCCATTCTCCTTTACTGATATCTTTTACATCGCTACCTAAAATGAAGACTTTTCATTGCTTGCCATATTTGACCAATCAGCAGCACCTAGAACTGCTAGTTATTCCGACTTCCACAATACACTGCCCTTATTTTGTCCCTTTCTCTCTAGTTTTCCTTCTTCATCTGTTTCCCTACTCCAATTAAGTGCCCCTTATTGAAAATGCCTTGGGCCAGAAATGTTTCAGATTTTGGAATTCCTGTGATTTGAAATATTTAAATGTATGCAATGAGACGTCTTCAGGATGAGACCCACGTTTAATGCAAAACTCACTGATATATACCTGTTTGATCGATACCTCATACACATAGCCAAAAGGTGACTTTTTACATTTAGTGTATTTGTGTTTGGAGTGCAAGCCATCTTATGAGGTCAGGGATGGAGATTTCCACGTGGGATACCACGTGGTTATGCTATGTTGGCTCCCATTTTGGAGCACTTTAGACCTCGGATTTGGAAATTGGAGATACTCAACCAGCACATTTGCCCTTCCCTAATTTTTTAAGTTTACGGCACCATGATGCTTAATCCCTGGCCTTTTCTTCTGCTTTATTTACACTTTCCTAGTCAGTCATCTCTAAAGTCCTTGGGATTCAGTACCGTGTAGAGGGATGTCTCCCACATTTAAATCTCAAGGGCTGACCTCCAGGGCAGAACGCAGAACCAACTGCCTACTTGCTGAATTTGCTTGGCTGTCTGATGGGCATTTTCTTAGTCACTTTCCTGTCATTTAATACAGCACCCCCAACACACACAACTTCAGAGAGGACAGGTTTGCTCTGGTACATAGTTGCGGTCCATGATTGGC